AGCTTTACGAGGTTTTTATTGCCTGCAATAAAAAGTGAGCACTTACATCGATGATGCTTTTAAAAATATTATATTTTCTTTATTGATTTAAGAGAACAAATACAAGCGATGTTTTTAATTAAAAATTGGTTGAAAACCCAGTCCAGTGTTTGAATCCTACCTTTTCAATTAATTGTCAACAGTATTTTGCACAATTAAGCGCATTCAATGTGAATTTAAGGCCCATTTATTTCTTTTTATAGGATTAAAATAAGAAAAACCTTATAAGTTTACTGACTATTACTGCGGCGTACATCGTCTTTGGAAAAATGATTAAAATAGGACATTTTGGATTTTTTTTATGTATGTAACTATTGTTTTTATTAAATGAATTATTATATTTTCAGAAAGTTCAGATTGTTGACAATGTTAATGCAAAAAAAATTTGAAAAAATATTTAATAATTTTTAAGGAGTGGCTGTTTCCCTTAAACGCCTTGCGGTGATAATTCCCCAGGACAAACGGGTTAAATGGTACGGAAAAAATTAAAATATTTCATTCGTTTTAAGAGTATCCTGTACTTGAACGAACGTTTTAAAATTTTTTTTCTACTGTTCAAATCTTTATGAAAATTTGGTGAAATGTTCTCAAGAAGTTGTTCTTTAAGATAAAGCAAAAAAGCTTTCGATTTTTTGAAAATGAAAAAGGTATATACCCCCTTATTCCCCCGCAGACTTCCTTATCGAAAACTAAAGAATTTTATATTAAAATACGTATAGTTACTTGCATTAAAAAAAAAAACTGGCTTAAAAGTATTTGAATATAGAATCTCGAAAACTGTTGAACATTTTTCTATTTTGTGGTGCTGTTAGAAAAACAAGATTTAAATTTTTGTAAAATGGCTCAAGTTTTATTTTCGTTTAATTTATAAAAAAAAAAGGAGAAAGCACAATAGGAAATGGATTATACGGTCTAAATAAAGAATTATAAATAGGGACAAACAAAAAATATATACAAATTTAATTATGTCGTGGTAATTACCACTCCTGAAACTTCTTGGAACCGACTTTGATGGCCAGTGACAACAGGCGATTATACCTCCGAACCCTTGGATCACAAAAGCAATCCTTGCTTAATTCTTTGCTCACAAACCATTATGGTAATCAATAGGCCGTTCCTTGCATAATTTAGGGTGCCATAAAAGGGCCAATTGTAGTCTTAACGGGGGCAAAAACAACGACAACTGTGCGCAATTAGCGGATTTGGGCAACCAAAAACAAAGGCAACGCTTTGTTCGCTCGTTTCTGAGATTTGAGCCGCTGCTTCTGGTGTTGCTGTTGTTGTTATGACCGTCGTTACTTGTTATTGCAGGCAATTAAAAACGTACGCCCAACACCCCCAAACACACACACACCCCTCGGATTGCATAAACTTTTGTTTGATAATGTTAAAGTGCCGCGCAAACAAATCAAAAAGCATATTGAAATTGGGTTAATGTACGGAGGCAACCAGTCCGGATGCGAGTCCGCATCCAGTTGGTCTGGTGGTGTCCTTAGCCGCTGTTTGCTTTACGGGTTTTAATCCGAAAATTAAGCGCGAGCTGAGCATTAAAATTTGCGACCCATTTCGAGGGAGGCTGCCCCTTCAGCGACGCGACGTCGACTGTTGTTTCAAGATAAAAACTTCATGTGCGTTGGAAAAACACACGGGAAAAGAGCAAGGACCAAAAGCGTGGGGGTTGGGTGATAGAGTGCACTGTAAGAAAATGTTCAAGTGTTAATTAAAAATAAAATCAAATCAGCCTTTGATATTTAGGCATGGAAAAAAGTTTAAAATCTTTAAAACTATTTTATAAGACGTGTACATATGTTCCAACCTAAAAACAAGATAATAATTGATTTATAAAAAATACTACAAATATATTGTAATACTCCCATAAATTAAATCGAATTCCATTTTATGATTATATTATATATATAAAATAATATATATATAATATAATATAATATAATAAAAATATATATATATATAATATGCCAATATATATATAATATATATATATATATATTATATTATATTAATAACAACATTTTACGAAATTGCTTTTCTAATGAACCCAATAATAATATTTTTCGGATTTAAAATACCTCTTCCTTTGATAAGTTTAAATATTTGAATTAAGGTATGGTTATTGGGTCAAAAAGTGTGTTTAATTCTATTTAGATCTTTATACATTTTTCTCCAAGTGGTTAAACATTTTGGCATTAACAGGAGCAGTGCTCTTATCGTTTGGCCCCGGCATATGTTACGCACATTTACAACGTATGGCCAGTTTTCCGCTTTCCACTTTCCGCAGCTTCCCACCTGATAGGAAATATTGGGTGTGTGTGGGAATCTCGGTGAGGTACCAGTACCAGGTATAGGTATACCTGACTGCCTCGGAAGTTTCTCACACTTCCAGGACATGTGCTGCTTTTTTGCCGTTTTTCCCCGACTGGTTATCAATTGGCCGATTGGAAATTCCCGGTTGGCTATGCGCTAGCGTGAGAACCGAGCTGCGAACAGCGGGTTTTTAGCATATATATCCATACCTGTGGATCGTCCCGATGGGAAAGTAGCAGCAGGATCGGATGTGGAATACGTAGGATGTGTAGGAAACAGCGCCTCGCCCGCAACACCCACATTAGCAATGGACCAGCGTCCAGTGTCCTGTTAATTGCTTTATGGACTCTCTAGTTTCCACTGCGTGGGAATCTTACGTGTCCTACCTGTCCTTAAATCGTCCTCCTCCCGACACTTTCTCCATTTGCCGCTCTGTAGTTCAAGTTCAGTGTGAACATTTGTGTTGACTTTATTTTTAAACTTTTACCCGTTTGTTTTTAGTTTGCTGTTTGCCTGTAACCAGATTAAGGTCAAGTCGGTTGGAGGAGGCTGGGATTCGGCTTGAGATCCGGTTCATTGAGTTGCCAGTCGAAGCATGAGTCTGACTTTTATACACTTTCCGGGAAGAGATCATTGAGTTGCTCGTTGAAATACTGAAAGGGGGATCTTTTTCAGTCTTAAGATTTATTTTTAGCTATATTTTTTGTAAAAATATAAAATTATAACCAATAAGTGATGCCGAATCTATTTCCTACATTTTATCGTAGTTTTTATTTAAAAAACAAAGATAGTTTTTAATAAATTGGTGAAATAAAAAGTGTAAATGGCTTAAGTAACGTGTGAAATGGTTGCCATTTTATATTACAGAGAGTTTTAGGGCATTAATTCGTTATTAATGATGTCCCATATTTCAGTAGATAGTTGTAAAAATTAACGATTGGATTTTGTCTTTGATTTCCCTTTTCTCGAATTGAGGTTCTCACTTCCGTTCTGTTATGATAAAGATTAAGGGAACCGATGCTGATATATCAATGGATATGCTTAAATTTATGGTTATATGAAATGGTGTAATGTTCGTTAGGATAAGAAGCATAGATCCTGAATAATTTTGACCCACTTACTGCTCGTAAACTATGCTATTATGCGGATTTTGCACCATATGATACTCAACCCTCTGGTTGACTCCTGTCCGCATTTTCTTCGCGGGTCGAGGCATTTATAATAATCGCGGCCTAAATGGGAACGCCTCTCCGTTTTTCCCTATTTCCCCTGGTTTTCTCCGTAGAGAAAGGGAAGCAACCTCACTTCAGACGTGCATGTTGGCACATTTGCGTTGCGGATTAGCGCGGAATACTCGTTGGGATTATGATCGTTGAGCAAATCTGTTGCTCCTGCGAATGCGTAACGGATGCCGACAATTCCCTCAATCTCCGACTCTTGACAAATGTTTCATTTCTTGATGGGAAAGGAATATTAAACTGAGAGCCAATGCTCGCAGTACATAAAAACCATCAATGCTTTAGAAAATGTTATTAAATTATTTTTAATAATTTTTGAGCTTGTTTTACAATCTATTTATATGTACTTTTTTATCTTATGTTTTTGTGATAATGAATATCAAAGAAAATAGTTTAAACAGTTTATTAATTTTTAAAAATGAAAATATTTAAATTCCGATTTATTTGATCCAGAGAAAATCAATTTAACCTCGAACAAATACGGATTGCACTTAGAACTACGTTTTTTCCAGTGTAGTCCATATGCCGGCTTTAATGTCACTTAGTAGACATAGATGCATTAAAAATACGTGACCTGTGTCAATAAACTTGAAATTACGTGCGAAATCTCTGTACTCCAGCAAATCTAGGTAAATGGCCAAGTTCTTTAAAACTCCCAAAAAAAAAGTGACTCAATGGAAAATAAAGCAGCAGGAGTCCCAATGGCTTAGATTTTGGCAAAACTGCGCCAAAATCACGTTCGAAAACTATCAATGGCAAGATGCTGGCTGTGGGTCATCCCGAATGTATACGGTTCACATATATTATGCCACCTCCTAAACTCTCGTTTCGTGTGGCAGTGTGCGTGGGACATCATTTGAGTATTATGTGCTCATACAGACACACGAATATATATAGATATAAGTCAAACTCCTGCGGTCGGCAAAAGTCAACCTGTTGAATGCAGGAGTCAGCACGAGTGAGATGGCAACTATTTTCGGTTTGCCATTCAGCAAAAGGATCTGGCCGAATTAGTAACAGTGCAAAAAGTCAACTGCCCAGAAAACAGGTAAAATTGAGATCAGCCAATGGCAGGTTGCTATCCCAGATCAGGTAGAAGGTCCTTTTTCGGATCGGTTTGGCAACTGTTAAAACTGCTTGTCCTGGAGGAAAGCAGCTCAGTTGCAAACAGGTGATTGCAGGGACATGAGCAAGTGCTAAGGAAGTGCTATAACAGTTTCAAACAGGACTAATTTATTTTGTACTAAAAAAAACATTAAAATGACAAACCATCGCAAAGTGCGCAAGGATTGCTATGAGAGCAGGTTACATGGTCGGTTGTGGTTCCGTAAACTGAATAATTTTTACAAAAACTTCCTTTATAAACTCAATATATATTTTTTATTTCGATTTCTTTTTCAGATATAGCCAAAACGTGTGCCATGAAGGAGAAAAGCAAAAATGCGGCACGCACTCGACGTGAAAAGGAAAACACGGAATTCTGCCAATTGGCCAAATTACTGCCGCTGCCAGCGGCGATTACTTCACAACTGGACAAGGCCTCCGTCATCCGGCTGACCACATCGTATTTGAAAATGCGTCAAGTCTTTCCCGATGGTAAGTTCAGTGTTGCACTCGCAATTTTCCGCCTTTATTGCGTGGAAAACTCACTTGATTGCCGCTCAATTTGTCGCCCCAGTCTTGGCTTTTCATCTCGTGTGAATTACGCCCGGTGGCTATGGCAAATGATGCGGAATGTTTGACAGCCACGCGACCGCCACGCTCATTATAATCCAACCTCGACGTATCCGCACAGCAGGACATAGTCCTTTGTTTTCCTTTTAACTCCTATGCAGTCGCAGTACTTTTTTATCTTTGCAAGTTTTCAAGTTTAAACGGCGAGGTTTGTTTAAAGCATATGTTTGCGAGGACAAGCCAGGGAAAACCACTCAACAATGGGCAGACAATAAACAGCAGGATAAAGTGGGCTGGAGTGGGTGGCTGGGTGGCTGGTTGGGGGTGGTTAAAACACAATGGCGGCTGTTGTTTCACTCAAAAAGCAACGAGCAACGAGAGCCGGACTGGAAATCTCGCTCCCTTTCTCATTTTCCCGGACCAAAACCCCCCTCCCACACACACATGTGAGTGTGCGCCACTGAGATTTTCTGCTGACAAAGAGGGTTGCTCAAGAGGGGTGTGAGTGGGTGGGTGTCGCTCCCATTGTTGCCGCACCGTTTTGTGCTTTTCTTTTCTGCCTTTATTGAAATAATTATTTTAATAATAGGCAACAAACAACGAGATCCGGACGGGCCAAGGAAGTGCCGTGGTATATACATGACAATACAGTATGTACATGGTGCTGAAAGGGGGGAGGAAGTGGGCGAATTGTGGGCTGTGAATGGGCCACCTACCGCGCTCGATGACTTTAATTGGGAATAATATTTAGACGTCAGCAGTGGCAAGTAGGGCGTGTGTTGCTGCTGCTGGTGGGAATTTTGCGAATTAAGATACTAAGGCCGGATGACAAACAATTAATTCGGGGCGTTATGAGAAACTTGTCAACAGCATTGCAAATCGGTCTTGACCCCATGCAAATGTACTAACTGGAGCTTTATTTATATTTTGTATTTAAATGATTACCATTTATTGCGACTTAAACAGTTTGCCTTTCATATAATGTACATCTAAAAAGAAAATATAAACCACTGGAGAGCTCTACAAATTTTATGACCACATTAATCAAAATCTATATCCTTATTTCTTTCAGGACTCGGGGAAGCCTGGGGCTCATCGCCTACCATGCAGCGGGGTCCTACCATCAAGGAGCTGGGCTCCCATCTGCTCCAAACACTGGACGGCTTCATCTTCGTGGTGGCTCCGGATGGCAAAATCATGTACATCTCGGAAACGGCCTCCGTGCATTTGGGCCTGAGTCAGGTGAGTGGAGTGTCGGATCTCTTGTCCTGATTTATGCGCATAAATTGCCGGGCCACCTGACGTTGCCTTTTTTGTATCCTGGCCAGCACTTGCATTTGCAAGTCAATGGGCCTGTGGCTTCAGAAAAGACGATTCATTTGCATTTGCCCACTAATTGGCACTCACCGCTGGCTAAGAATTCAGCTGCAAAGTGCTATAACATTTGTAATGCATTTCAGTTTACTTAACTCTGAAAATAAATTAGATTGATGCAATTTAAATATAAATCATTATGATCTTTTAATACTAATACATAAATCCAAAAACTGAACTAAACATCCTTACTTGATATTCTTTTAATAATCAGGTGGAACTGACGGGCAATTCGATATTCGAGTACATACACAACTACGATCAGGACGAGATGAACGCCATTTTGTCGCTGCATCCGCACATCAACCAGCATCCAGTGAGTACAGCCTAGATTTCGGCAGGGTCTTCCGAAACATTTCACAGTGTCTGCCCTCTCTTTCTCTCCCTCTGTCTTTGCCTCTGTCTCTGTCTGGAATGCCCCTTTCCCACTCTGTCTTGTACTCACGCCACAGGCCGCCTTTCTCAACTCCCTACAGCTCGCCCAGACGCATACGCCCATCGGCAGTCCCAATGGCGTCCCATCCCAGCACTCATCCGCCTACGACCACGACCGCGGATCGCACACCATCGAGATCGAGAAGACCTTCTTCCTGCGCATGAAGTGTGTCCTGGCCAAAAGGAACGCCGGCCTCATCACATCCGGCTTTAAGGTAATTTAAATAGAACTATATTTGTAAATTTGAAGACCAAATTGTAGCTCTGGGATAGTAAAGTTATATCCAAATAATCATTGTTTTAACATAACGGATTCAAGATCTCAAGTCGTTACATATAACATAAATTGAAAAAAACAATTATTTTAACTTTCTACAAAGCCAGGGTGTTAAATAATTGTTATTATTAATAAAACTATATCCCTTTATGTTGAAATTATTGCAATTATAGGTACCATACCAGTTTAATGCAGTTATGATAAATTTATCTACAAGCTTAAAATTTGACGTTAAACAAATGCCAGACACACCATTTTTGTTTCAACATTTTAATTCATTAGTGTTGTTTCACCATGATTTATTTTACATTTCAAGCTAAGAACTTCGTATAATATAAAGTAGAAACTATGTTTTAAATTGGTTCTAACCTAATTATTTTACTATTGCAGGTGATACACTGCTCCGGGTATTTGAAGGCTCGCATCTATCCCGATCGCGGCGATGGCCAGGGCAGCCTCATCCAGAATCTCGGCCTGGTGGCCGTCGGTCACTCGCTGCCTTCCTCTGCCATCACAGAAATCAAGCTGCACCAGAACATGTTTATGTTCCGGGCCAAGCTGGACATGAAGCTCATCTTCTTCGATGCACGGTAAGTAAAGCCCTAGAAAAACTATATTAAATGTGTTAATTTCTGGCAATTAAAATCAAATGCAGAAAAAGAGCCTTTTTAAAATGCTTTTGCTTCTTTATTAAACAATGTCTTAGAAGAAACAATTTTTTTACGCTGCAGGAGATTTTAAAAAATACTAAATCACTCAACACAATTTTTTAAATCCACTCATACTCTTTCAACGAAATAATATTTGCAGAGGGCTTTTTTCATGCTTTCAAAAAATCCTTGAAAGTATCCTTTGCATGTTTGCCGTATATTCGACACTAGGCAAATATTTAAACGGGCCGCAGAATTCGCTTTTTACACCACGATAAAAAGTTTCAGCAACCGCCCCCCAAAAAGATAATGTTTTCAAAGTGCCGAAAACAAAAAAGAAATGAATAGCAAAAAGGAAATGTAAGCAAGACGGGGCGACATGACGAAAAGAAAAACAAATCATTTCCCTCTTGAGCTTGATTTCCTTTTGTCACTGTGTGGCTGTGTGTGTGTGTGTGTGTGTGTGACTGAGTGTTTGAGGGGGAAAGAGGACACTGTGTAAGTGCCTGGCGGGCCAAAAAACCAGCCCACTTTGTCTGACATTATTGTCACTCAATTACCCTCATGATGCCACGGCATATTGCCATCCCATTCTGGCGCCCTTCCTTCGCGCCGAACAACCCCAAAGTGGTGAGCAAAAATCAGCCCCTTTTTCGCCGCTATTTTGTTTTTTCTGCATAATTGAATTGGAGTTGACAAAAGTAAACCAGCCGAATAAAACACACCAGCAACAAAGGCAACACCAATGACCATTCATTGTTTGGACAAGCCAGCGAAGCCGGTGCCCTCGACCTCAAAACTTATGCCTAACTCCTGTCGCCTGTTTATTATTTGCTTACAGCGTATCGCAGCTAACCGGATACGAGCCGCAGGACCTCATCGAGAAGACCCTGTATCAGTACATCCACGCCACGGACATAATGGCCATGCGCGGCTCCCATCAAATCCGTAAGAAAACACATTCTTATCCATTGCATTGCATCGTGCACAAAGCCATACACTTAGAAAAACGACTAGACGACAGCTAAAATAAGTCATCATTTTTACTCCGCATATTATACACAATTCCGAAGAATATATGTCTCTATTTATATTATAGTTTTCAATAAAAAGTCAATGAATTAATCATTTTCTTTATGTTAATAGCAAAAGTTTCGTCTTAAATATGATAAAGACTATTAATAAAAAATATTTAATTACCTAAATTATGTGTAAATATAAAGCTCAACAATGGTTAGAAAGCTATGTTTCAATATTGTTTTGAGCTTCAAAAAGTTAAGTAAAGTTAAAAATATGAGACAATTAAACGTTAAATGGCCTTGTGTATTTCGTGTAATTTTTAAAATAATTTTTCTTTTCTCAAGTTCTAACCTTTAATTTGTTTTTTGCTTTACCCGCAGTGCTGTACAAAGGACAAGTGACCACCAAATATTACCGCTTCCTGACCAAAGGAGGTGGATGGGTGTGGGTGCAATCGTATGCCACCCTGGTGCACAATTCGCGATCTTCGCGAGAGGTGTTTATCGTGAGCGTGAACTACGTGCTGAGCGAACGAGAGGTGAAAGACTTGGTGCTGAACGAGATTCAGACGGGAGTGGTGAAGCGGGAGCCCATTTCACCCGCGGCTCAAGCGGCCCAAGCGGCCCAGGCGGCACAAGTGGCACAAGCGGCACAAGCGGCACAAGCGGCGGCTCAAGCGGCGGCACAGGCGGCAGCGGCGGCTCAGGTCCAGGTGGTGGTGCCCCAACAGCCGGTGGTCGGGGTGCAGCCGCAGTGCGCCGGAGCAACGGGTCAGCCGGTGGGTCCGGGAACGCCTGTCAGCCTGGCCCTGAGTGCCAGTCCAAAACTGGATCCCTATTTCGAGCCGGAGTTGCCGTTGCAGCCGCCCAATGCAGTCACGCCCGTGCCCGCGAATAACAATGGCAGCAGCAACAATAACAACAACGGCGTGTGGCACCACCATCAGCTGCAGCAGCAACAGTCGGGGAGCATGGACCACGATAGCCTCAGTTACACGCAGCTTTATCCGCCCTTGAACGACCTTGTGGTGAGCTCCAGCAGCAGTGTGGGTGGAGGCACTGCCTCCAGTGCGGGAGGCGGGTCCAGTGCCTCGGCTTCGTCATCTGGCGTTTACTCCACGGAGATGCAATATCCGGACACCACCACGGGCAATCTGTACTACAATAACAACAATCACTACTACTACGACTACGATGCCACGGTGGATGTGGCCACCTCAATGATTCGTCCATTTTCGGCCAATTCGAATAGCTGCTCCAGCAGTTCGGAAAGTGAGCGGCAATTGTCCAACGGCAATGCCTCGATTGTGAATGGAACATCGCCCTCACAAACCACATACAGCGATCTCAGTCACAACTTCGAGCTGAGCTACTTCTCCGACAACAGTTCGCAGCAGCAACAGCACCAGCAACAGCAGCAGCAGCAACAGCAACAGCAGCAACATCTTTTAGAGCAGCAGCACCTGCAGCAGCAACAGCGATTGCAGACGCAACAGCAGCAACACCAGCAATATCACTATGTAATGCCCCACCAGCAAGAGCAACAGCAGCAGCAATATCAGAGAGTGGTCAGCGATTTCGCGGAGAGTTTCAAGAGCGTAAATGCTGCTGCTGCGGCGGCGGCAGTAGTGGCCACGCCCCATTACACCAGCGTTATTGTGGAGCCGCAGCATTATATACCCAACGATTTTGTGCATTAACAGCAACTCGATGTTGTGCCGTTGTTGTAGTTGTTTATAAAACGTCGACTGCTCCCCCCTCCGCCGGAATCAAGTTGTTGCAATGTTATATATATAGTGTATCGCTGGTGCACCTCTGAGTTCTCAGTTCTCAGTTCCAAATTGTAATATGTGGCTGAGCCACAAAACATCTGAATTTCTAGCCGCCGTCTATTCTCTTTTATTTATTATATATATTATTACCCCCATTGCGTTCACGTTAATTATCCAACAGTTCAGTGTAAAGTTACAAAGAAATTGATACAAAACAAACGAAAAAATTAATAAAAGAATGATCCTTGTTAACAAATGCAAAAGCAAATACAAATTCTATAATAAATAGACCTAAGTCTTAACTGTAAAATGTTCATTAAAACTAACTTAAGTTAATTGCACATACTTATACTTAACTATGTCGTCATGCGCATACCATAATAGGCCCCATAACCATGAATTCATACGATCTATGAATCTATCTATGTATATAAATATGCAATAATGTGTAAATAGTGCAGGGTCCGCTCCACTATGCTGATATCGAATATGATCTTCATAAGTCAAGTAAATAATTGTAAATGTAAAATTAACTATTATCGCAAATTTTTCTAATTTGAATAAACAAATTATTATGTGGGTGAACAATAAAAGAACAGGTGTTCAATTGTTTCTATAAGCCACATTTGGAAATCATGATGCTAAAGAATATAGTTTTTATTTAATTTAGTAATGTTAGTTTACAAATAAAATGTTATTTACAAAAATTATTGACGCTTTTTAGTTTGTTTTTTTCCTTAAGCTCTTATGTATTGTTTTATTTTAGTTAGTTTCAGCTTGGATCTTTGATTTTGTGTTAAATTTGGTAGTTAAGGTAGAATCCTTGATTCCGGTGGAGAAATCGAAGCCAAAAGTTAAGCCAGGATTTTGTGGGATTTTTTGGAAAAGATCAAAAAAGAAAATTATTTTATTACTCGAAGCCATTTCATATATTTTTTTTTAATAGTATGACCGCTTTGAAAAGACGCAGAAACTCACTTAACGCATTGCAAAAGTGGCAAGAAAGTGCCTACATTTGCGTTAATCCCAAAGGTTGTCACACTGCCTTAACGTGAAATCTGTGTGTGGCGATCGGTTTTCCTTGGAAAGTGCTCGAATACAGCAACAAGCTGCGAAATGTTGTCCCCCAACGTGAATATAGGTCTGGAAATGCAAGGACTGCTCGATAAAGTACTGCATCACCAGCAACTGTCTGGGGACTGTTCTGTAATGGGAGTGCATGATTTGGCAGACAAAAATGGTATTTTGACCCCGATGTACTTATCGAATAAGAACAGAATACCAATTCCCAAGCGAATTTACAAAATCGTTAATTACATCTCTGGACACCAATTGGAGGCGTTAACCTACAACGACGGAAGAACCTCTACACGACCCAACCCAAGTTCATTCTGCAATATAGTCCAATGTGACTGCGATAGGAATCTCAGTGTTGTGCGGTTTACGTTTTCCACATTTTTCTGGTGTTTATACACAATCAAAGCAGATGTTTCCTGGGGTAAACCCAAGATAGTTCAGGAGTACTCCACACTTAAAGTTTTTGTTCTATGACGTTGCTGGCATACCCTAAAAACAGAACAAATATTTACCTGAGTAAATGAATGATCTCCATGATATGTTGTGATTTATTATGCTTAGGGCTTGCATAATAAATGGAATAAGCGATTAAGTCAAAATATAATTATAATAAATTACACAACGTATGTATGTGTGTGTGTGATTTCCTGCAAGCGTCTCACAACTTCTTAGAATCCAGCAAGCGTCTCAGTACTTCTTAGAATCCACACTCTATGCTTTTCCTTTTGTAGTCGTGCGGTCTTCTTATATTTTGTAATATGTGCTCAGCACATATTATGTCTCCCACCAATTTATTAAACAAGTTAAATTCACTTTTGTATAGTTTTAGATATGTATTTTTAAGTTCTTTAATCCACGTCTTGCTACTTCAAATTATACGCAATAAGTAAGAGCAGAACCAGCTCATCGGAACCAAAACGATATTAGTGTAACCAGTCACGGTAGTGAGCAGAATACTTTTGCATATACAATTTTCTCATCGTATGAAGTAATGTCATATTCCAACACACCTCCTCAAAAGTCTTATGCTCATGAATTATAAATTTAAAGTTTAAGAAAGAATTTGAAATTTGAATTGGCAAGACAAGATATCTCTGGGAGTGCACATTGACCCAACATTTGTTGCTTGAATTGGGGAAACCCAGTAAAACCCAATTAGGTCAATCTTAAAATTAATATAAAGCACAATGAATATTTAAATCGACAAAATGATGTGATGCAAAATTAACATACAAAACAATTAAAAGCAATTTCAGTAAGTAATCTTATAAATTTGAAAATTTTAAAGTTATTAAAAGTATCTTCTGTTTCAAACTTTATAATAGAAATTATAACAGATTTTAAAGGCAATAACATAGGTTCAAAAATTATTCTTTAAATGATAAATTAAATTAAGTCTTCAACTTTTATGTATGTATATAAAACATTAATTGAATCGTCGTCTGCATCCATCAATTGGTTAAGCCAAGACCCTGTCTTAGTTGTGCGAAGCGTGGAGCTGGCAGTGGTTTTGTTAATATATCCGCCAGTTGATGATCTGTAGAAATATACTCAAGTTTTATTAGTTTATTTTCAACTTGTTCACGTGAAAAATGATATTTGATGTCTATATGTTTTGAACGTTTGTGGCAAGAAAGGTTGTTGGCAATACTAATACAGCCCTGATTATCTTCAAAAATTGTAATAGGTTGCTCTATATTTATGTTCAAACTTTCTAGTAAAGATTTTAACCATAGAGCTTCCCTAACAGCCTCAAACAATGCCATGTATTCGGCTTCGGTAGATGATGCTGCCACTGAATTCTGTTTTCTAGTACTCCAACAAATCAGGTTTGTTTTAAACATCTTAAAAAGATATCCTGTTGTACTTCTCCTATCCAATTGACTTCCACCCCAATCTGAATCTACAAATCCAACAAAGAAGTCGTCATACATCTCAGTTTTAGTAAATGTTAGCTTAAAGTCGATAGTCCCTTTCAGATACCTTAATACCCTTTTTAAGCATAGCCAAAGCTCTTTATTATTTTTCTGACTATATCGACTCAAAAGATTTACAGATATACTGAGATCTGGCCTTGTACATAGCATTACATACATAAGGCATCCAATCAAACTTTGACACGGAGAATCGTCTCTTTCATCAGATTCTAATAATTCAAAGTTCAGTTTACTTGGAAGTGGTGAATTTACAGAATTACATTGCTCCATGTTAAATTTTAATAAAATAATTTTAATATAAGCTGATTGGCTTAATTCCATTTCATTTTCTTTTCTGTCTATTTTAATACCAATAAAATACTTAATTTCCATTAAATCTGTCATTTGAAACTTGCTCATTAAATATGACTTAAATTTATTCATTGTTAGAATGTTTTCTGTACAAATAACCAAGTCATCTACGTATAACAAAACATATATATTTTTTAAAATAGTCCCTTTATCCAAAATATATATACATCTATCTACAGGTGAATTTTTAAAACCAATATCTTTTAAAGCCTTTTCAAACACTTTAAACCAACATCTAGCCGCCTGCTTAAGACCATAAATTGCTTTATTCAATTTACAAACATGACTGCTATTACAAGACAGTCCTTGAGGAACTCTCATATATATTTCCTCTTTTAAATCTCCATTTAAAAAAGCAGTTTTTACATCCATATGATGTACTTTAAGACTATACTGGTTTGAAAAAGACATTATAAGTCTGAAACTTGAAATTCTAGCCACAGGGGCAAATGTTTCGTCGTAATCGATCAAATATTCCTGTGTAAATCCCCGTGCTACAAGTCTGGCTTTATATTTTACTGGTCTACCAAACTCGTTCTGTTTTATTGTAAATATCCATTTACAATCGACTATGTTTTTGTTTTCAGGTCTTTCTACCAGTGACCATGTTTTGTTAATTTCATGAGAATTAAGCTCATCTTCAATAGCTGCTCTCCACTGTTCTTTATCATTCCTATTATTAATTTCATCAAAAGATATTGGAGCACTACCTGTTAAAGTTTGCGCATGCATAACACAATTTTTAATCATATCTCTATATGACAATTTTGGCTTTTCTTTTAGTCTATTGCTTTTTCTAATTTGAGTATCAGAGTCACTTGGTTCACCTTCAGATATAACACCAGATATCTCTGGATCGGCATTTTCCACTTCATTCTCCACTTCATTTTCCATTTCACTAGGCTGCACATCTGATATTACCATATCAGTATTTTCCTGAACCCTTTCACTCTCAATAAGACCAGAGTCTTGAAAAGCAGGTTCAATATTTTTTTCAAGATTGTGAAATTCCATGTTGTTATCAACATCCACAGCTCTAGACATTATCCTGTTTGATTCATCAAACACTACATCTCTTGCAATAACAAATTTGTTATTCTCCACATCCCATACTTTATATCCATTTGGTTCATACCCGACAAGTATACCTTTCCATGATTTGTCATCAAATTTTCTTTTTCTCGTTTTATTGAGAACGTATACTGTCGAACCAAAAACTCTTAAGTACTTAAGGCACGGCTTTTTGTTGTGCCACATTTCAAAAGGTGTCTTTCTGCATTCATGTAATGCACTAGTTGGGCTTCTATTAATAAGGTAGGTGGCTGTTAGCACCGCTTCACCCCAGAAAGTTTTCTGAGCCTTGCCCCCTATAACTAAAGCTCGAGCTTTTTCCGTTATAGATCTAATCATCCTTTCGGATACACCATTTTGCTGTGGAGTATGTGGAACTGTCAAGTGGTAACTAATGCCTTTTTGAACACAGAACTCTTTCATTTCATTCGAAAGATACTCCCTACCATTATCAATATAAAGGTTAACCATATTTAAATTAAACAAAGCATGCGTTTTAGCTACATAGTCTTGAAATACACTGAAAACTTCCGACTTATAACTCAACAGGTAAGTTACACAATAATGCGTATACTCATCAATAAAAACTACATAATAATTCTTATGATCAACAGTAGATGGGGTTATTGGACCACACACATCAGAATGTACAACAAATAATGGTCGATTTATGTGGTCCTTATTTTTAAATTTATTAAAACTTAATCTCGCCTGCTTTCCCTTTACACAAGCTTCACATAACTCATTTTATGTTATTTAGCAAATCTGTATCGTCAAACATATTTTTAGTTTTAATTTCTAAAAACTTTCCCTTACTCAAATGACCTAGCCTCTCATGCCACAAACTATAATTATTATTTTTAGTTGCATTTGCAATACAAGCTAGTTTATTAGAAAAGAATTTAACCAATGGAACATTTCCAAATATACTTCCATTCATTACAATTATTTTACCTTTTCTAACAGTTACACCTCCTGGGTGAAATACAATGGTAAGACCTGCCTCCTGCATTTTTTTAACTGAGATCAAGTTTTCCGGGATATCAGGACAGTATAAGACATCTTTAAGCTCAATTCTCTCATTTGAATTTGTGTACAGCTTCACTGTTCCTTTCTTAACTGCATAAATGAAAACATCGTTCTTGGCAACAGAAATTTTAATAGGTTCATTTAATTCAGTGATAGTTGTAAACAAACTCTCATTGTTGGCCAAATGGTCTGATGCGCCCGAGTCTAATAAAAACCCAATGTTTGTTTGGCTATTTGCGCGTCTC